GGGGGGGGGGACGCCAAAGTCCGTGAAAAGGACACCCTTTCCGCCCGCGTGACAGCGCTCTCACTCCACGGGGCTGAGCGTCTAAGGCCGACAGCGTGTGGCGGAGAAGGCAGGCGTGTGAGACCGAGGAGGGGCCCCACGTTGAGCTCAGGGGGGAGGCCGCCCGCCAATCCCAGGGACGCTTCTGTGTGGGACACGCTCCGCCCGTGTGCGGTCCCCCGGCGGACCCGTTCCCCCTAAACTTTAACACTTGGCTGCAGAAACCAGCCGCGGGGGACACAAAAAGGCCTCAAGCACAGAACGTTAGCTTTCTGTTTCTCACTGGTCACTGTTACGGAACGTTAAGAAAAGTCAGCGTTGGCAAAGTTTGCAAGATCCGACAGGCAGTCACGCCTTGAAATGTCGCAGAACACGCAAGCAGCCAATGAGCCCACCCCAGGACCTTCCGGGAACGGTCGAGACGAGACTCCGGGAAGAGAGAGGAGCTCAAGGTCATTACCGCAGAAAAGCGACAGGAGGGCGTGAAGCCTCTGCTCCCAGCGTCCACCTCGGAGCCACGGGAAGGGCTGGTCTCCCTGCACACGTTTAAGAGGTATTTAGGCAACCAGCACGTCATAAACCACAGTCAGCCTGGGGTGAGTGGACATACTGAACTGCTGACGGGAACACGCGGGTGACGTCTGGCCCGCGAGGCAGCTCGGGCTCCTCTGCACGTGACTTAGCAGATTTTGACGAAGCTGCTCAAGAAATTTTATAACCACCACCCAAGCCGGAGTGAGCTGCAGGACTTGCAGGGTTAAAGCTGTTGCTCTTTCTTTTTCTCGTCTTGGCCAATCTGAGTCTTCCTTCCCTTCCAGGGTGGGCGGACGGACGCGGGCGGCGGGGAGACGGCGTACTCACGGCGGCACCCCTGGGCGTGCGGACTGGCGTCTCACAGGACCCGGGGCCCAGAGTGACGAGGAGTCTTCCAGGGTCACAGCGCTAGTCGTTGTATGAGCAAAGCCAGCACGAGAAGCAGCTGACGCCAGATCCAGTCTCACCGTGACGCCTCCTGCATACGCGGCAAGCCACGTGGGCTGACGGCTGCTCAGAGGGGCTCTCGCAGTGTCTGCTGCGAGCATCCTGCGGCCGGTTCACCAAACACTCCCCCCAAATCTCCTCCCGGCCCTGCTCTGCAAAATGAAGCTTCTCCTTCACTACATGACTCAGCGCTTTCCTAAAGGAGTCACTCCCTGATCTGACTACGATTAAATCAGAACACTGGAGACGACAGCCGAGGTTCCACAGAAGACTGCGCGTGGGGCGTCCCTGCACAAGGCTTCAGTCGCTCCAGAAAAACCGTCCCAGTGCAGGGAGACGCCGCGTCCCTCGCTCCCCACGCTTCCTAGAAGGCCCCTCCGACGAGGGGGTGGAGCCTTAGCAACAACTTTTGATAGCGACAGCCCGAAACATCACCTGCAGCTGTGCTGGGGCAAGGAGGTGCCACCAAGATCAAACTGCGGTGACGGTGACGGCGTGTGCCGCTCAGCCAGAGGCAGGCGCGGGGTAGGAAAGCGCGTCTCTGAGGGTGCCTGAGAGTGACGGCAGTGCACGCGGCCGGCGAGGGGTCAGGTGTCCTCCCCCGCCACGCTCCCGTGTTCAGGGAATGGAGGTCTCTGTTTAGGAAATGTCGTTCAGTGGGCGCCGCCTGGTTTGGGGTGGGGGAGAGGCGGAGTGTGGACGCGCAGAGCAGTTCCTGCACATCCTGCCGGGGCCCACGCAGAACTTTCACTCGCTCTCCCCGGAGCCGCGGCTGAAAACACGGGGCTCTCGGACAGGTGGGTGCGGGAAGGAGGCCCCAGGCTTCTCAGGCTTCAGGCTTTTTGGTGATACTTCGTGTAGGTACCAACCATTCCACATTATCCCAGAGAGTCCTGGAAACCGGCACAAACTCTTGTGTCACGGCGACAACGGGCCCTCCCGGGAGGTCAGTTGGCGTACTGGGTGTAGAAAGCCACTTTGACTCTCTCGATCTGGTGGCACAGCTTGATGGCCGGCCCCAGCTTCAGCTCCATGCACTCCTGCACCGTGGGCAGCGTGAGCAGCAGCAGGGCCTGGCCGTCGATGTCCTGTGGAAAGGGGAGAGAAAGCCAGGTCAACTGAAAAATGTTTTTATAGTTAAAACTGGGCATTTAAGCCCCCAAACAAAGAAAATAAAAACAAAATGTTAGGTTATATAAAATGCCACCTCCCGTATCTAACGTTTGCCTGTCACGCGGCACATAACAGGCACTCAGTGGCACGTACTGAACGAACGCAGGAGCCAACAGACACGTTAGTGTGTTAAGACCTGTGTCGTGGGCGTTTGTCACGTATGTGGACACAACGCTTTTCTCACGGCGCCGCGCCGGTGATCACCAGACTGGAGAAACGCTGAGTGCGGCGAGGCTTCACGTAGAACCCCAACCTACCCATCTGTTCTTGTTTTCGAGATGGAGATGCCAACATCTCAGCAACAATCCCAAATCACCTAAGCCCTCGCATTTCTTAGCATTCCCTTCCTTCCTGTTTGGGATAAGCCCATCGTCCAGGTTCTTGAGATGTGATGGGGCTTCTCCCTGCTTGCTTTTCTCAGGGCCCCAGGGAGGAAGAGCAGGCAACGCCAGAGGCCGGGAGGGGCCCCCGTGGCCCCTCTCGTTCCGGCAGCACCAACTCAATGGAAGCCACGGAGGCCTCTAGCCTCGGTCACATGAACCATATCTTTTCCTGGACTGCTCTGCACACAGGGGGAGGGACCTCTAAATGACTAAGAACTACCTTACTCGGGGGATGCCGAGAACTATATTAACTTGCTCTTTCCCACTCGTTACTGCATTGACTTGTCAACTATATTAATTTGCTCTTTTCGACTTATTACTGCATTGACTTCCCTGGGTGTATGGGAAACCAGAGACCTTTTATTTCCCCCCTGATTTAATGCTCGAATTATTTTCTTTCTAGATGATTGGCTGATACAATCTAAAAAGAGCCTGGATAAACATATCTTTAATTTATTATATGGAAAACAGTGTATTTTTAAACTCAGGGTCTTCAGAGTCAGAAATTTATGCTGTGGGACAAGGCGAGACATTTCAACAACCCGAGCACAGATCGGAGCAAGAGCCACAGGTCTGAACTTGAACTCTGCATGTAAGGTCAGGGACGCAACGTGGTATGTGCGTAGACACCAACAACTGGTCTTCATATTAATTTAAGGGAAAACATAAATAAAAACCCTCTCTTCTTTCTTAGGATACATCATCAATCGCACATCTTACATTTCAGGTGATTACGGCCATTTCATCTGAGATTATAAACTCCTTTAAGGCAGGGGTTATTTTGATCGTTTTTGCATTTGTCCATCATAGTGTCATAGGTTTTAAAATAGTTTAAAAAAAAAAAAAGGAAAAAAGGAAAAAAAAAAGGAAGAAAACAACACGATGGACAGACGGCTTCTTCCACTCTGGGGAAGTCCAGCAGAGACACTTTTCCCTACCTATCTCCTTAGGTGTAACTAATACTAATACCCCTGGGAACTGCATGTTCAACAGAAGACTCTGGAAGGCGGAGAGAAGAGGGCAGACCGGCGAGGGGCCTTGGGTCCCCAGTTAATGACACAGTGCTGCATTCTCCGGTTGTTTTTGTTGTTTGTTTGTGTGCCTTATATATCTCCAAGACTCAGAGCTGAAGAAGGTGGCCACGCAGGGTTACCAAAAGGTACCAGCAAAGAGGCCCCAAAAAGCCTGCTCTCTCTGGCCAAAGGACCCAAAAGGGGTGGCCCAGTGAGACAAAAAACTTCCAGACACCAGTGGCTCTTCTGCAGCCGAACATCCCGGGCAAAACTGGCCCAGCTGAGGCCAGTGAGTAGCCCTGACTTCCAGCCTGGCCAGGCTGCACCCCCGCACCTCGATCCCCTAAAAGGTGGCATCTGGCAAGGCCGAATAGGGAGCTGGGGCTTTCATTCACACCTGACAGCAAAGAGACCCCCGTTGTGGGGTCAGTGGAGGCTGTGGGTGGGGCCTGGACTTGCACCCCTCCCCTGCCGAGGGACCAGTGAGGAGCAGGACACAGGCAGGGCCTCCTGGAAGCAGGGTCACCCACACCTGCCCAGCAACACCAAGGAGTCCCCACGCAGGTGACAACGGCAGCCCAGTAGGTCCCCGACCTCAGCCCCCATCTGGCAGTCACGAGTACGCCAGCTAGGACTGGGGGCTCCTTTGACACCCAGAGTCCCACAACGCAAAACCATGAACACACATCGAGCCACCGCACCTGCTCCTGAAATATCTTGGCCAAGGGGGCGCAGTCCGTCAGCTTGATGAACCGCACCACGTCTGTGACAGTCCACTCTAAGGGGTTGCTCTCCAGGACCAGCCTCTCCTCCTCTTCCTGTTTCGTTTCCTGCAGGGGGAGGGAGGCGGGCAGGACATCAGCCACTGCGCCCACAGCCAGACCCTCCCCACACCCTCCTGGCCGGGGAGCCAGCGGCTGCCTCCTCTGGGCGGGGAGTTGGTCTCTAGGGAGTTTCCCCACATCTCATCCGGGGATGACTCCCGGCAATGACTTGTGAGCCCTCAGAGGTTAAGAAAACGGGCACAGTGACAGTCACTCTCGAACCCTAGTTCAGGAAATCCCAGGCTTGCGTATTAACGAAGCATCTCCCACAAGAGACGAGAGCTGCTAAGTGCACAGGGGGCCGCTCCTCCTGCTTGTGTGACAATGGTGACTGTCCCCTTTTCCGCTAAGGGCTCAGGGGAGACCTGACGTCCTGATTTAATGCTTTATAACCCCACAGCGGTGTCCTCTAAAGGAGAAGAGGGAAGCCAAATACAAGGTGGTCACGGGAGATGCGGAGATGGAGTTTTGGAAACCCAGGGGTGGAAGGGACCTGGTGGGGTCCCCACCCCTGACAAGGACCCCGCCGGTGTTGAAGCCGGCCAGAAAAGGCCACCCCCTCGGACCTCCACTGTCATGCTGAACGAGCCCTCTGACCAGCGGTGAAATCGCCGCCAGCCTTTGTCCCCAAGTCGGGAATTTGGCCAGAGTGGCTGCTGCTGTTCCGGATATTAAACAGGTTTCCCCAAACCGGTTTCCCCTGACCGCAGCGCGTTCTCTGCTTAGCAATGGGTGGGAAGCCCCGGCCCGGGGCCGTACCTCTGCGCCCTCGGGCTTGGCGGGCGCGCCCTTCTCCCCCTCCTCGGCAGGCGCGGCGGCGGGCGCCCTGCGGCCCCTGCGTGTCCTCTCCGCGGGCGGCTGGCGCGCGGGCTCCGAGCCGCTCCGCAGGGTGACAGCCCTGCGCGGCCGGGCCGAGGGCACCTCCGCAGACGAGGTGTCCGTCTGGTCATCGCGGAGCTCGGAGCCGGTCTCCTCGCTCGCGGTGTCATCGTCCACGGCGTCTGCGTCGTCCTCTTCGCTTTCCTGCGAGGGAGAGAAGGGGACTGAAGGCGGGGGTGGAGAGGGTCCCCAGCGTGGACGCAGCAGGGTGGCCCCAACAGCACCACGGCCGAGCTCGGACCCTCGCAGACCACTGTGCTTATGCAAGGTCTGCGCCGGGAGGCCGCCAGAGACGGACCTTATTACTGTCCCAGCGTCGGCCCTTTCAGCCAAAATAACACATTAAATGTGTCCTCAGCCAACAAGGAGCAGGGCGCGTCGCGCTCCGTGTTTCCGACCGTCTGCAGCAAACCCCAGCTGCCGCCTTGGCTGCACGGCGGTGGCAGGGCCGGCAGGGGCGGCAGGGGCGGCAGGGCCGGCAGGGGCGGCAGGGGCGGCAGGGCCGGCAGGGGTGGCAGGGCCGGCACAGCCACCCCGACCGCGGGAAGGTGGTTTAGGGGAGCGGACGTACCTCGCCCGAGCCCGCGGCGAAGTCCACGGCGGAGGACCTCCGCTTCTTCTGCACGAAGATGGACTTCCGCCGCTTCCTGCGCCTGGCCGGCTTGGGGTGCCCGCCGTCGACGCTGCCTTCCCCGATGGGGGGCTTCGTGATCTTCCTCCTCTTTCCGTAATAGTAGGCTGTGGGGAGAGGGGCGGTCGGAAGCTCCGTGGGGCCGCACGCGCATGCGCGCACGCGCGCGGACAGAGAGGAGCGGGAGGGACGTCAGGGACAAACAGACGTCTGACGTTTCATTCGGGCCTGAGAGAACGGCTCCGCGGAGAGGAAACATTTCTCCAAGGCCGCACATTCAGAAGGCGTTACGGGCTGAATTACGTCCCTCTTCGTCCGGATGTGGAAGCCCTAACCGCGCAGTGTGGCCGATCTGGAGGCGGCACCTCCTTTAAGGAGGCATCGAGGTTAAATGAAGCCGCAAACCCCAGTGCCGGACGAGGCCTTAATCCAAGAGGAGCGGTGCCTTTGTAACAAGAGGAAGAGACGCCACCCACCAAGGCTGGTCTAGCCAACTTCCGGGTCATCCCCGCCAACTTCCGGGTCATCCCAGAAAACTTCCGGGTTACCGCCCTTTAGATTAGAAATGACCGAGGGGAGACGCAGGGAGCTCAAAACTGCCATATCGGAGAGAGTGTTCGGGCTCGAGGCACCGAGGTGGAGGTGTCTGGGGGTGGCCAAGGTCCCCGAGAGAGGGGCAGGCACAGGGCTTGGGAGATGCAGGAGCTGAGGGTGGGGCAGCGGTAAGAGCTCTAAGTCCTGCATCCCGCAAAGGCAGTCGGGAGCAAAGACAGTGACGGTGGCTTCTCAATCCTCCATCCTTCCTCCTCTGGAGGGGGCTCGGAGGAACGTGTCTGCGTAGGGGGACAGGTCACGACGGGGCTGTGGCCCCCGTGCAAAGGGCGGTGGAAGAGGCATCACCGCTTCTCAGTGTGAGGACAGAGGAAGTCACCGGGGTTACCAGTGTCATTGACAATCAGTTTAGTCATGCTCCTGACTTCCGGCCACCCAGCTTTCCATTCCATCAGCCCACGTCAGTATACACAGCACACACAATCTCATTTATACACATTCTCATTTCCTCTTCTCTGAAGTCTACTAAGGGTAATTCATCCTGCTTTTTAATCGTCCCACCCCGTCCTCATGCCAGACTAAAAACACATAGGAAGCTGCTACAGCAAATTAAAAAAAACCCAAAAACACACAACTCTTGCATAGCAATTCCAACAGAAAACTATTCAAAAGGTTCCAAAACAGAAAACGAAACGAAAACCAAATGCATGGGACCGCAGTTAGGCCTCTGGGCCCTCGCTGTTTTCTACCGTTCGTACTCACTGTATTTGGTCTTGGTATGGATGGAGCAGTTCTCTGGGCAGTTTTCAGACACCAGCACAGGACTGAACAAATTAGGACAGCATTCCAGCTTGGCACAGACCCGGCGGCAGAAATTGGCGACTTGGTCAGACGTCCGTACAATCTTGACTATAGCCCTGTATGTTTTGCCTCGGTACCTGGAAAACAGGAGGGCAATGCCAACGGTAGGACCAGGTTATATACTATTCTGGCCCACCCAGTATAGAACGTTCCAAACACGGCCAAGTCACTTCACTTTCTAACGATGACACATATATTGGGAGTTGTTTCCATTTTATTTGTTGGTAAACTTTCCTGTGATCTCACAACTCCCAATGTGACTGTAACTGAGGACAGAGCCTTACAGAGGTAAACAGGGTTAAACGAGGTCATGTGGGTGGCCCTGGTCCAACAGGACCGATGGCCTTGGAGGACGACATGAAGACACACGGGTGCACACGTACAGAGAAGCAGCCGAGTAAGGACATGGCAAGAACACGCAATCAGAAAGCCAAAAAGAGGCCTCAGGAGGTGCAGCCCTGGCACCTCCCTCCTGGACTTCCAGCCCCCAGAACTGTCAGGAAATAAAAGTCTGCTGCTCAAGCCTTCCAGCCTGCAGCTCTTTGGTATGTGGCCTGGACTGACTGTACAACTCTCACAACTCCAGGGGGACAGGCAGGGACAGCGACGGGCCCCAGGGCAGCATCCACCTCCCCCTTTCTCAGCTTAGACATTTTCCAACCATCCTCTGAGGGCATCCTTAAGCGCTTTTCTCTGCTCTTGGGGAAAGACCATTCTAGACTAAAGGCATGGAAGTTTTCCCCCGAAAACTTTTTCAACGCACCAGAAAAGCAAGACCTAGAAATGCAAACATCTTTTATACTTATCCACAATGCACTGATTTTATGGTATCTGAATCCTAAAACTACCACTGACATTGCTAACAGAGATGGCTACTTTCCTGCCACAATACTTAAAATATTAATTAATATCATGTCTTCCCCATGGGAAGTTGTAACAACAGTAGGACATGCAGTATTGCTTTCCTTAAGCATAACTATTGGGTGAAAAATAAACATTAAGCCTCCTCCCCTGCTTCCCCACCACCCACCAACGTGACAAAGAACTGAGAGTGAGACCTGCTTCGGGAATCTGGATATTGGCATTTGCGACTCATCAGTTTTGAGAAAAAAAAAAACCTTTCTCCCGTCTTGAGATGGGAGAAAGAAAACCCACATGCAATGAAGCCACCAACTTAAGACCTGCAACCAGAGCTCCTGGAAAGCAGATTGGATGGGTTCTTGTTTGAAAAAGAGGTACTTAAAGCCTTTATCCAAATATTTCTGGTAATGTGATGTATATAATGCCTTGCTGAAAACACGAGCGCTTGAAGATAAGTTTCAATCATCTTTCAACACATTTAAAAAGCCATCCAGGGTAGCAAATCACGATGAACTTTTCAGTTGGCAAAGATTATGGGTCTTTATTAGTTCATATCTCACCAAGCTATTGAAACGTGAAACTTCAACTTGTTCTTTTTTTATGTCTTTCTAAAAACTGGGAAAAAGTATCAACAGCAAAAAACTTAAATTCTAACTTGGAAAAAAAATGTACTTTATATATTTATTCACTGCTCTTTCATGCTCCAATCCCTCCATATTCCTTCACTCCTCAGTTTCTCCAATGTGCAAAGCTCCACTCACCTCATACATTTTCAGGAGAGCAAACTGTACACATCTGAGCGAGGTAAACAAAAACTAACAAATGAACAACAACAACAACAACAAACAAAAACACCTTTTTGGGTGAAAAGTCTCTCAGTTTGAGAATCCTTTTTCACATAAATCACATTATAGTCAAATGTTGCATCTACTGTTGATAAAACACAGGCTTGAGTAAAAGGCTCAAAAAAAGTCAAATAAATAGAAACACATATAAAGTTAGCCACTGCATATGAAAAAGAAGAAATCAAAATATTTCCACAAAGTTGAGCACCAACTCACCTAAAAGTAAAAATTTAACTTTATCTTCTTATATCTGCCAAGTGACAACAAAGTTTAAGTCATGTGAAATTATAGCAAGATATTGCCTCTTTAAATATTCTGAATAACTCTAAATAAGGACTGGAAAAGTACTAAGGCTCTACCTTGTTTATACAAATATCACAAAAGCCATTCAAAGAAGAGTTAACAGCCTTTTTTTCCTCTCAAGAGTCTATAACATGTTGAAAAACATATTTAAATGTCTGTAGAGGCACAGAGTTGGAGTTTGTTTCTTTTTTTAATCCCCCTAAGGTATAGCCTAAATTCCTTCTCCTGAAATTCAAAATAATGTAGGTCAATGTAGCGTACTCACTGGAAAGAAAGACATTTTCTCTTCCAGAACAGCTGATATGAACATTAGAATCCATCTTCTCTTTGGCACTACCTACCACTAGCGTATCTTTGCTTTTCAATCCACACTGAGGACTAATAATAGACTCCTCACACGTTGTTCATATATTGCAATCATTTCTTCAGTACTACGAAAGGCATGGTTGTTGCATAATTAGGAAACAAAAATCACTGCGGGACAACTGTAGATGATAGTGTACGTTTTCATTATATTTACAGGTCAAAATCTTTTCAAAGACACCTTCATCCTCTCGGGTAAATAGGTCTTTACTCTTCAGAGGAGGAAAAACCCATCAGAAACCCTAGCTGCTCAGGGACAGTGATCACATCGCCCCCACCGACAGGTTCCCACCCTCTCTCTTCCTGCAAACACTCTTGATAAGTTTGTGATTCGGCTCCCATAAGCAACCGAGAGAACTGAATGCCTTAAATGCAGGTCTCTCCTCTTGTAAGTTAATTTATTCGCAGCAGAAAACATATCTGCCTTCCAGCTGAATGGGAAGACGCTAGCTCTCTCTCTCTCTCTCATTTGCACCAAAAAAAAAAAAAAAAAAAAAAAAAAGCAAAGTTGTCAAGATCTAAAAAGTTGTCGTTTGACATCAGAAGGAAAGCAGTGACTCAACGTACAGTGGTATTGCAGGAAAGCGCGGGCCGCCCGCGAGCCTGTCATCATTAGCAGCTGCTCTGAGACGGCGCTGTGATCCGGCACAGCCGAAAGCCAGTTCAGACAGACGCCTTCTCATTATGAGTTGCTGTGTTAGATTTTCCTATGGAACGTACTGTCTGTCATATTTGATATAATAGGTGATACGTCACCTTTGCAACGCGGCAGGGCTGGATTTCATCGTGTCTGTTTTGATTGTATCAGGCTGGATTTAATAAGAGCTCTGATCGACTCGGTAATATGAAAATGAGTGCAAACACTTGCAAAATGAACTCTCCTGTCATTTCAGTATCTGGAGCAAGCTTCCGGCTCATCTAGGAATCGGGGAGAGTTTAATGGAATTTAAGATTCTTGTATTTTCGTTTCCACGTTCATTAGCTATATTTGGACTGCATCGAATTTTGCAGGAAAATTGGGGTTCTTTTCACATTTGCTATTTTTAAAAAAATCTGTACATATTTACAGGGTATGGTGTAATTTTTGTTACATGCATAGGATTACGCAGTGGTGAAGTCAAGGCTTTTGGGGTATCCATCACCCAAATAATGTAGATTGTACCCATTAAATAATTTCTTATCACCTACCACCTACCCACCTCCAAGAAAAGTTTTAATGTAAGAAGTAAGGATTTCTCTGTATAAACACTTGCTCAATTCTGCCCCCACTACTATGATCTTACAAGAAAATATTCTACCATCGCTGATAATCTCCTCCTTAGATAAAGTAGAAAAATACGGAATATTAGATAGGTGACACTCATTTAAATATTTCTTGGGAAAGAAGGGAATGATGAAATGAGGTACCACGGTTATTGACTGGCATGCCACTGTATACAAACACTCTCCTTATCTACATACATCCTCTTTCACTTTTGTGATCTGGCAGAGTATGATTCGACCATAAATGACTTTTACTAAATGCTGGGTGGATTGCTGGCAGGACAGGTTGAGTAGCAGCACAATACCTCGACATCTCTGCTCAGCACCAGTATGAGTTAGCCACAGAGGAAATAATACTGGTCATAACAAATTATTTAATATTTCTCCATTTTCGCTATGACTAGGACAGGTGCCGTCTCTAAAGGAGGGTTTAGATATACGCTAGCCATTGAAAAATGATTTGCTCTTTTGAAAAAGCATCATTTCTCATATGTTACATCTACATGATATTTAAGAAGTCAACCATGAAAATCTATTCTGTTTGAAAACCATAAATATTAAAAGCCCTCTCGAGAACTCTCAGCAATAATTCGATGTGAAATTATCTTGAGTAAAGGATCTTCTCCTATGTACATAAACAGCTGAGTTCAAGCACATGGACACTGTCCCTGCTCTCATTTCAGAGGTTCAGCAAGTTAAAGGAGAGAAAAAATGTCACCTTTCCTGTTAGCCTATTTCCAAGTAAAAGAACAAAGTTACGCAAATAGATGCCAACCCAGAGTCCGCTGTCATTTTACCAAACCCAAACCAAACATGTGTACTGGTTCCTTTTGTTTCTTAAAACAGTCAACTGCCAGCGTGGAGAATGTTTACATTTGGCATAAAGTCTTTACAGTATCAAACATTAATAATTGTTTATGAACATGGTATAATAACGATAAGGGACATCCTCTTTATAATTTTTCCCCTTTTGATCAAATAATCTATTGGCCCCGGAACAGCATGTTTTTATTCTCAATGTTTAACATCATAAAGCGTTAGCAGAGGAAATCTCTACTCCGCCAAAGGAATCCCAGGGCTTGAGGCAACTCTGCAAATAGCAAAAATGCCAACAAATCTGCCTTCGTAGGACACAGAACTGCAGACGAACCGTCCGTCCTTCAGGTTTTTTTTGCCATTTCTCCAGGGCTGCATCACAAAGAGGAAGGACAGGGTTCGAAGCAGTGGGCGGGGTATTACAAACACCCTTGCCCTCCAGAATTGGAAACACTCACTTTGCCTTCAGTGTCTCCTCCTGAAAATTCCAGTGGGGATCTTCTACCAGCTGCAGCTCTCTCAGTACCCTTCCGGGCTTGTAGGCCGCGTTGATGATCATGCTGAGAACCTGTCGGGGGAAAACAAGCACGATGAACTTCAACGGCACACGTTCCTCCTAGCACAAGAATGCTTTTGAAAACCACGCCGCAGACACTGCACAGCCACGTGAAATGCAGGACGTCAAACCAGTCAGATAAACACCTCTGAACACGGCTAACCCTCCATCCTGGGATACAGGGCGGTCAAATCTGAGCCCTCTGGCCAGGAGAGCCGGAAACTCTCCCTAGTGAGGATGGCAGACTCTCATTACCTCTTCTGGTTGTGGGAAAACTGAGCCACTTCCTCCAAAGAGCAATTTATTATTTTTCAACAGGATTCCTCTTCGGTTGGATGGGCTACTGAGAATTACATTCTATTTTTTTTTTTTTTTAATTTCATAAGAACCCAATGAAACAGAGACAATACTACTGCCGACACTTCTGGAGAAGTTTCAGGTACTTGTATGAGAGACTCACCCAGTGCTGGCTCAGTTTACGGACTATGTATTAACCCTTTGCACTCGCTTGCTTTCTTCTTGACTCTTTTATTCTACTCGGGATTTAATTTTTTTAAATATCCCAGATTTAACAAAGCGCGGCAGTAGAATAAAAAAAACTGGAGTTTCTTTTCATGCAAACGTTATTTGTTTGGATTTTTTTTATATTTCAAATTATTGACACATTCAAAGAGTAATTTCTCTGTAATTTTTGCTAACTGTGTTGAGTCGCACTCGACATCCGAGTGCAAAGGGTTAATAATACTGGGACAGCTCTCTTAGAGACGGGAGCGTACTGGGAGATAGTCTGGAACATCTTAACACCAACCAGCATCACATTTCCTCGACCTGCCCCCTGGCCCCCAAGTCCCAAGTCCAGGACGATGAGCGTGAGCTCACTGGCTGTGGTGGGGCTCCCAGAGAGACCAGGGATGTCCGTTCTGAGAGTCCCAACTGCAGGCTCTGGGCAGATAAGACGTTCCAGGTAACCTCAATGTGCCTCTTTAACAAGAAGAACAAGGAACTTAGACCCCTGGGGTACTCGCCTTTCAAAAAGCAAATTACCCACTAACAAAGTTTACGAGTTCCGGTACGCTCCTGATCGGCTGCTATTTGGACAGGGAGCCTAAGAAATGTGAGGGCACGAAGAAGAGACCTAGGAGGTTGGGTTCCCTGAAATGACCATCTGATGGGGGGTGTCACTGGGTGCTAGGCAACGGGGATGCACAGGGAGAGCATGTGATGTGAACCACTGCTAGCGTTTATGCCGCCCAGAAGAGGCATAAAAGAACCAGCCAGACACGGTGCCCACCTTTCACGTGTCAGGGCAAAGTCCCATCGAGGGAGTAAGGCACACACCTCACTGAGAAGGGAGACCGGCACGACGGCCTGAAGTCCTACTGTGTTTGATGGAGACAGTTCATTACAAAGGGAAGGGTGGAAAAAGAAGAACGTCACTGGAATTTGCAGGTCGCAGTTTTAGCGGGTCTGACATGTTCTGCAATGTGACAGCCCGGTTTGTACCCTCACTGGCTTCTGAAAACAACTAAGATTTCTCATGTCGTAACTAAGGATTCGATCCTAACATATTTTATGCTATGCAGTCAGCATGGTGACCGTCTTTTCTTTGCCTGGGGACTGTTTAGCTACGTTCCGAGGGCCCCGTTAAAGACCCACCAAGAGAACAAGGCTCAGCCAAGGCAGTCCCATCGGTCTGGGTACATACATTCTCGCATTCTCTGTATTAGAATAATCATCTGATTTTATGGCTCACTGTCAGTACGATTTACAGAAACCGAGTTTGCAAATAAATCTGATTAGAAGTGACTACAATACTGCACACAGTGTTTACCCACAGACAATAACATTTCGACGTAGCGTTTTCACTGCGCGTAGCTGAGGAAGCCTCAGAGCTACATGTTATTTGCTGCCCACCGAGACGCATTTCGTGACTTTGAAAAGAAAATGCCTTCCAGAATTCACGTCAGCCTGGAAACAGGCAGCAATTAAATTGTAAAAAGCATCTGACATTGAATATGTTTCCCTTGGCTTTTCCCGATGCCGTATCATTCATCTCCAAATTCAACAAGCTCCCTACAAAACTTTGGAACTGCGGGCTGAATCATTTCCGTGCACAGTGACATCTTAGTGGATTCCAGTTACCCTGCAAAAATAACCAAGTAGACAGCCGGTACTACTACCCAGGGTTAGACTGAGTTACTGCACCCTGCAAAGCATCAGAATTCAATGCACCGTGTTCTTGATCAGACCCTGCGCCCATTAACTAAGGGGATCTTAGGTGTGACATCAACAATATTCCCAACAAACAGGTGCAAGGGGTCTGGGGCCCCTCGAGGAGGAAATTCACACTAGAAAACAAGGCCTCATTGGATGTCTTGGAGTTCATGAAATGCTACCTGAGAACATACTTCTACCTGCAAGTTCCCCACAGTGTATTATGGGTCAAAGTCAATCACTTTTTTTTTTTGAGACAGAGTCTCATTCTGTTTCCCGGGCTAGAGTGCCGTGGCGTCAGCCTAGCTCACAACCACCTCAGACTCCTGGGCTCAAGCAATCCTCCTGCCTCAGCCTCCCGAGTAGCTGTGACTACAGGCATGTGCCACCATGCCCGGATAATTTTTTCCATTTTTTAGTAGAGACAGGATCTTGCTCTTGCTCAGGCTGGTCTTGAACTCCTGAGCTCAAACAATCCGCCCATCTCGGTCTCCCAGAGTGCTAGGTAGGATTACAGGCGTGAGCCACCGCACCCGGCCAGAAAGTCAATAACTTCAGTAGGTGGACAGATCTGGGACCAAATCCCAGCTGCATCCCTTGGAAGCTGTACTTCCTTAGACAAGATGCATAACTGACTTTCCTCGTTTGAGCACAGGGGCCCTGCCATCTGTCTGGGGCACAGTGACATTCTGAGAAATAAACGAGGTGACGTTTCGGCAGGCGACAAACATTTAGAGGTAGTCCTCACTATCAATGCAGTCCCTTCCTGACACTTCCGATAAACTGTCCCCTGCCTCTTCTGTCCCTCTGTCCCCACTGGTCTGAACGTAGGTCCCAGTCTTGCATCTTTAAAAAATAACTTCGAACCTTGGAAGCTCCTAGACTTCCTGGCTACCATCTCCTTTTCAGAGCCAAACTTCTCAAAACAAGTAGTCCGTGCTTGAAATCTTCATCTTCACTTCAATTCTCAAACAACCCAAATCCTGATGCCTCTCCACCCACTACCCAAAAATGCTTCAGGAAGTGGGTCCCCAGGACCTAATTATTAAATCCAATCTGGGCCAGGTGCAGTGTCTCACATGCCGGTAGTCCCAGAACTTTGGAAGGCCAAGGTGGGAGGACTGCAGGAGGCCAGGAGTTCGAGACCGGCCTGAGCAACACAGCAAGACCCCATTTCCAAAAAAAAAAAAATAATATATATATATATAAAGATTAGTTGGCTGTGGTGGCACGTGCCTATATTCCCAACTACTCAGGATGCTGAGGCAGGAGGATTGCTTGAAGGCAGGAGTTCTAGGCTGCAGTGAGCTATGATGATACCACTGCACTCCAGCCTGGGTGACAGAGTAAGGCCCTGTCTCTAAAAGAAATACATATATATATATTTTTTAAAATACCCAGCAAGAACAACAAAAAAACAGAAATAAAGGAAGATGTGCTTGTAAGAAAAGAAGAGGAACCTCTTGGATGCACACATAACCTTCTCGTGAAGCCAGAGAAAAGCACGAAGCTTTGGGAAGAAAACAAAGCACATAACTTGCTCAGGTTATCGACCTCTTAGAAGTTAAGATCAGTGCAATGGCCGCACCAAATACACTCCCCAAGACATTATCTAACGCTAACCGTGATGTTCATCTCTCCCTTTGTTACTGATCACAACAATTTCTTTCTTTTTTTTTTAAATTTTTTTTTTATTTCGGCATATTATGGGGGTACAGATTTTAAGGTTTCAATAAATGCCCTTTCCTCCCTCCTCCCACAAGTCTGATTTTCCAGCATGACCATCCCCCAGATGGTGCACATGTCACTCATTATGTATGTATATACCCGCCCCCCTCACCCTTCCCCCCTGCCCAATACCCTATTACTGTAGTACCCATGTGTCCACTTAGGTGCTGCTCAGTTAATACCAGTTTGCTGGTGAGTATATCTGGTGCTTGTTTTTCCATTCTTGGGAAACTTCACTTAGTAGTATGGGTTCCAGCTCTAACCAGGAAAATACGAGATGTGCTATATCACCGTTGTTTCTTAGAGCTGAATAGTACTCCATGGTATACATAT